CTATTCAAATAGACTGGTCTACCCTTGCCTGCAACCTTTACTTTGGCCCCTCGGACCTCCTTGTCCTTACCTACAATTAACTCTTCTACAACTGCTAACTTCCAACCACATCTCTTTCCTCCTTCTCCGTACACTGTCACTACGTCTCCCTTCTTTACTTCTCTCAATCTACCTCCGTTTTTGCATTTATGGACTCTCTCAACCCTGTTAGATACTCCTTTTGCCACCTCTTCCAGAAGTGCTCTAACTTTAACGACACATACTTAAATCTCTCCTCACAACTATTCTCGTCTTTAGTAACTTCGTTCTGTGGCATAATATTAATTGCTCTACCATATATTAAGTGTGAAGGAGTTAAGACTTCACCATCAAATTCTTCGTATTCATCAGTCAACGGTCTTGCATTTAATGCACCTTCAACTTCAACTAAAACTGTATTAAGTTCGTCGAACGTTAACCTAGCATTCCCCAAAGTCTTCCTATGACACCTTTTCACGCTTCGTACCATCCTCTCAAAAACTCCACCCCACCAGGGTGCCCTCTCTAAGTTGAACCTCCAGGTTATTCGCTTCGTCTGTAGCTCGGACTTAACCTTTTGCTGACTATATAGTTTCCTAAGAGCTTTCTCTGATGCCTTAAATGTCTTTGCATTGTCTGATACTATCAAACTAGGCGTTCCTCTTCTAGCGGCAAACCTTCTTAAAGAACGTAAAAACGTGTCGGCTGACAAATCTCGTACTAACATTGCTACTGGTTTTCTTTCTTCCTCTATCACTTCAGGTCTCTTCACATTACACTTAAATTTAGGCCATTCTTCTTTGGACTTAGAGAGCCAATCTGGCCCCTCCCACCAAAGTTTACTAACTTTCAAATTTGAAGCTAACATCCCCCTTGAACCTATATCTGCAGGGTTTTCTACCCCTGGACAGTGCCCCCAATCCTCTTTGTTTGTGAGTTTCAAAATTTCATTAACTCGATGATGGACAAATTGCTTCCATTCCCCTCTATTCCTTATCCAGTAAAGGGCAGTAATGCTATCAAGCCAGAAACAGGTAAATCTATCTTAACTTGGGTTCCAAGTGCCCCTTTAACTGAGTTCATGAGCTGGGCAAGGAGTCTTGCTGACATCAATTCTAATCTGGGTATGCTTGTCGGTTTTAAAGGCGCTACTCTTGCTTTAGAGGTTAGTAGACGCACATACACTCCTACACTTGTTTGGTAAACAAAATAGATCACAGCACAATATGATTTCTGACTTGCATCACCAAATCCATGCAAGGTACACTGTAAGACCTCCTCCTCTGGGTTATCATATATGCAACGAGGAGTAATTATTTCATTTACTTCTATTAAATCCTTATACCAGACTTCCCATTTCCTAAGTATTTCTCCAGTGAAAACCTCATCCCAATCAATTTTTGCCTTGCATACTTCTTGAAACAAGATCTTGGCATAAACAATTATAGGGCTCACTATCCCGATAGGATCAAAAAGACTAGCTAAAACACTTAACAGATTTCTTTTCGTAGGTGATAGAGTTCTTGCTTTTTCACCTGTCTTTGCAACCTCAAACTTTAATTCATCCTTATTGTTATCCCATACTTGACCTAAAACCTTATGGCATTTTGATTCAGTTCCCTTCATTCCTAGAGATAATTTTGCATATGATTCATTCTCATCTATTCTATCGCTCTTCCTGTCCATGGTCTTCTCTTCTAAATCAATCTTATCTTTCAACATTCTACTATTTGTTAACCACTTTCGCATGTTGAAACCTCCCTGTGCCATCCTACGCTTTGTCTTACTGTACAACTCTAATGCCTTTCCTGTACTACCCTCACCACTGACTAGATCATCCACATAAAACCCATCAAGCATTTTTTGTACAAACTCTGGATCTTCTTCAACATATGTAGAGACATGGTGTCTCAAAGTAGCATTGAGCAGGAATGGTGATGAATTTAACCCAAAAACTACTCGGCAAAAACGATAAACTAGTGTCTCCTGGTCTTCATTCTCAACATTCTTCACCCAGAGGAACCTTAAGCTATCTCTATCTGCTCTATCTACTTCCACATTCAGGAATGCTTTCTCAATATCGCCTACTAACGCTACTCTTTTTTCTCTAAACCTTATTAATATACTATACAGCAATGGATTGAGAGATGGTCCAACATGCAAACAGTCATTAAGCGATGTTCCTGATTTTGACTGCTTTGAGGATGCATCATAGACAATACGTAGTTTTGTGGTCACAGCATCCTTGCGAATGACCGCTTGGTGTGGTAAGTAATGCACCTTGTCTGCCTTCTCTAGACTCGATACCTGCTCTATGATTCCCTTTTCTACTTGCTCTCTAATTATTGAATCATATTCTTTCAACAATTCAGGTTCCTTCTTCAATCGCCTTAACTGGCTCTTCATTCTCGCTAGACTATTCCCGTAATTGTCTGAAAGCTTGTCATGGCCTTCCTTCCAGGGCAGTTTCACGGAATATCTACTGCCTGTGAAGGTCACGCCATCTAAAAATTCCTCATGAACACTATCCTCGTCAATTATGCCTAACCCTTCCAAACTCCAAAGCCTTTGCACATTACTCTCTAAACTATCATTGTTCCACTCCTGATTACCTATCTGTGCTACAAAATTTACCTGAGCTACTCCAACCCTTTCTATGTCCCTTGCTCTAAGAGGACCTGACAAAACCCAACCTAACTCTGTTTCAACAGCTACTGGATCCTCCGGTCTACCTCGCCTGGTAACACCTGTTTGAAACTGCCAAAGATAATCTGCTCCTATGAGAACGTCTATTTCTAAAACTTCCTGGCTACAAACATCAGAAAACCATGTGCCCTTCAAGTGTTGGTAATCCTTTCGTGCTAATTCTATGTGTGCATTTTGTATACTGGAAATTTCTGGTACTACATAAGCTTCTACAGTTATGACCTTATCCCCATGCAGAGGTTTAAGCTTTAATTCGACCACATCCCTTTGTTCGGACCTGGTACATTTCTGACCGAACGTATTAATGCCTAACAATTCCCGTCTTAAACCCTTGGGATCAACGAGACTAGCTGCTTTCGAAGTCACAAAGGAGCGATGACTTCCCGCGTCAAACAGTACCCGGACCTTAGCCTCCCTTTCTCCCCTTAAAACCCCGCGCGCAGTTTGCAAGGCAACCAGGCCACCAATTCCTACATGCAAATTGGCAGAACTAGATACATTAATTTTAGGGTCTTGTTTAGTTATATCTTTACTTATTTCCTCATGCATAGTTTCTTTGTTGTCATTATCACACAGGGCAACATGATGTGTGCCATTGCATTTCTTACACTTGGTTGATACACTACAATTATTAGCCCTATGGCCTTTATCTAAGCATTTAAAACATCTACCAAACTTACGTGCTAAAGTCTTACGAGTTTTTGGATCCCTTACTCCTGGACAGTCTTCGTGGGCATGTTGTTTCAGACAGAAGGCACAACAGTTTTTTCGTTTCTCATTCGCCAAGAGTGCAGCAGCAGTATAAGGGTTCTTTCGCTGACGCTGTTGCTCTCGTTCCATATTTACTATTGCAGTCGTTCCCACGGCATTATGTGCTTCTCTCAGTTCCAATTCTTTTACAAATGCATCCAGCATTTCTTCCATCGACCATTGTAGAAAATCTGTTCCTCTGGTAATCGTCAACCGAAATGATTCCGGTAGTTTCTCGACGATGACTGGAACAACAATACTGGAGTAAGATTCCTCGCTCACCCCCAGTGCTTTCAACGCGCGGTTATGTGCTTCACAGCTATCATATAAATGGCGAAGTCCTCGCGTGTCTCTTTCCTTGAATACCGGCGACAATTGAATCAGTTCGTTCACGTGTGCTCGCTGGACTGCGCTCTTTTTATCAAATCGTTTCTTTAAGAGTTCTACTGCTGACTTATAATTTGCTTCTGTCAGAGAAAACCCAGCGATTGTTGACTTTGCTGGTTCTTCCAACAGACCGCGTAAATACGCAAATTTATCGACATCAGACAATTGCTCATTGTTATCGATTGAACTTGAAAAGCTGTCCCAAAACTCCTGCCATTCGCAAATCTTTCCGTTAAACTTTCTGAGTTCAAGTTTCGGGAGCTTAGCTCGAACGATTTTACCGACTGACATATCGCTGGAGGTTGACAAATGACTCTGATTAAGGCTTGCATCCGCGGCGTTCTGCGTTGTCGACACTGACAATGGCGTGCTTTGTCTCAATTTACATAATTCATCCTCGAGCTCGAGTAATATTCTTTCCAGTTCCGCTATCGCGTTGTCTGAGTCTTCAATTTCTTGCGTTACAAGTTCATCGACGTCTTCCTCTTTCGATGCGCTGATTATGTCGATTATTTGTTCGTCGAATTGTCTTATCGTCTTGATTTTTTCTTTCAAGTTCGTTTGGCTCTGTCGCAACCATAGTATGTCTTTGTCTGGGCTCTCACTTTGAAGCCTTTCAACTATCTTCGCCACAAGCTTTTTAGCTGACGATCTGTGGCCTCCTCTCACTCGTTTCTTCTTGACTAGATCTTCCATCTGACGATTCAAGTCTCGAAACCTCACGCAACTCTATTCTCGACCGCGACGCAAATGTTGACTATTTGCGCGTCCTTTCTTCACAATATTAACAATCCGGCTCGATCGGACCACTGTGTTGCGGAACTTGTGATTCCACCGTCTGGTTCATTCAGTAAACGCTCAAGGGACTGTATTTTATAATTGTATTGATTGTAATATGTGAAAGTATACTATTTACAACGTGAGTTTTAGACTGTTAAACATTCCGATTGTCTCGCTACGATCTGACAGCAACAATGACATTCAATCACTCCCTAGCTATTTGATTACCCTACCAAATTACAATGTGTCACTGTGACGTATCAATTTACACATACAAAGACTTATTTACGATTTAACATGAATTACGTCAATCACAATACTGATATATTACATGAAGTATATTTAAAGTTGAATGAATTGGCGGCGCTGCGCTGGGAACCTACGACAATACTTGCATATATATATATATATATATATATATATATATTCACCTTTAAACCTTTTTTTTTCAATTTATGCCATATTAATGTGAAAGTATCATTTTTAGAAAGAGTTTGGTGATAGAAAATGACTTATGCAAAAAATTTTTCACAAAGTCACTAATTAGACTAATTAGCCAATATGGCGGCCGCTAATTAGCCCATAAATGCTCAACGTTTGAAACATGATATCACCTGAACCAATTACTCAATTTAATGAATGATATATTTTTAGAAAGCTTAGAACCTAATCTAGTGCCTTCCTCTCTTTATTTTCACCTTAAAGTTGTTTTTTTCAAAATTTTGATATTAAATGTGAATATTAAGGCAAAATTCGATTTTTCGACAGCAATTTAGGTAATTAAATATCAAATTTTTGTTAATAATGAAACATATTGAGATTTGAAGAAAGGGGGGCACTAGCTAAAGGCATTAGCCAATACCATGCCAAGTTTCAACTATTTACAGAAAATATTGAAGACGATATGATGCAACAAAGATTTCTCGAAACAGCAAAATCATCGAAATGAGAAAATGCTGTTTTGAAGTTTCATTCTGTTTTTTTTTTTGCTTCAGAAATGTTCAGAAGGCCCCTGCTTCATAAGTGGTACCTTCATTGTCTTGCACATTATCAATATAATGTTTTCTCAGATGTCTCAATGTTTTCCTTCTGCTTTTCACCTTTTCTGTTACTTTCTCGGCCGACAGTTTGATCCTCGCTGTGTCACTATCGTGTGCACCCTTGCTGGTGAATATCCCAGGAGTGATATCCAAATCACTCAGAATTTTCAAGAAGGAAATGTCCCCATCATTGAACCTCAGGACAGCAAGATAAGTGGCAAGAGCAACAGTCTCCTGCTCCACATATGTGGATTTAGGACATCTGTCCCAAATAAGTCCGTTCAAACATTCATTGACATTCTGTGTCATGCCGTGAGTGCACTTACTTAATAAGTCAGTCTTACTCAGATCATCAAATATGGGTTTGACTACATTCACAATACATGGTGGAATACCATAATTGTGTTTATAATTTATCCTTATCCCTGTTATAGCCACACCAACTGTCCTCTCCATCAGGACAGAGATGATGTTGTGGATTCTCGTCTGTCGATGCAACATGGTACAGTGATGCTTGTATGGCTGTAGCCATTTCACCAACATCACTGAGGTTTTCTCTCACTGCCAGGCCATAATAGTTCTGAAGAACATCTATTTTGCTATCAGTGACCCTACCTTTGCCAGCCAAGCCTTTTCCATCTGCCAATTTTACACCTTTACTTTGATTTTTTAATTTCCGCAACCGACTACCGACCCTTTTCTGGACATGTCCAATGCATTCCATTTTATTTGGTATGCATTCATCTCCATATGGCTTGCTTTCAACAATTTTGTTGTAAGTTGAGGAATCCCCATCGCCAAGCATGTTCTTATACTTGAGTCCTCTTGTTTGAAATGACCGTTTGAAGATTCGTAAAGCACCAACTGTCTCCATGCTGTTTGCACTCCCTACATGGTTAATTTTGCAGTTGTGTGTAGCTTTCCATTCTTCATATCTTGGATCACTTTCCTTCTTTTGCCACTTTTGACATTGTGTGCACTTGTCTGACATCACTTCAACATCAAGACATTTCTTCGAATCCAGCGAAATCACTGTCACAATGCCATTGTGTGACGCATGGCCCCTCTTCTGCCACGTACCATCGATTGATACCCCACATTCTCCAGCATCATTGGCATTCTGTTCCCTCACCTCCATAGCATTATTCACCATACTATCACTAGCCAATTGCTTTACCACAGGTAGGAGCTTTTTATTCTGAATCTTAGTAAAGATGCGACGTGTTGGCGGTTCAGGCATATTCATAACTTTGCTGAAGGTTTTCATGGCATTATGTCCCCTACCAATTTCTCTAAATGCCAGGACTGCTCTTAGGTTTATCTCATGAGAATGTCCCTGCTTTTTTGATGTACTAAAACAGTGTTTCCAGTCACACTCCACAGCTTTACACTCTATCACAATATAATGGGAAAAGCCATGCTTCTTCTTCAGGTCAACATGTGAATCTATATCACCACCACACTCAGGACATTTTAAAATGTCATCAAAAACACCAAATAGGGCACATAAATCCATAAAAATTGTACCTTCCTTCGAATTAGTGCTCATACCATCTGAAATATAATCAAACTTTGCCGTATTTTCACCAATTTTCTTGGCAGAAGGTCCAGGGTTTTTATAAGTGGATCCGCCATCTTGGATAATTTTTCACCGCTTTGACGGTGGAATTATTGCTTTCTTTCGCGATCTGTTTCTAGTATTTCCCATTTATTTACTTCGATATACAATCAGAATAACAAATAGAAGAAATTTTAATAGAAAGGAAGCAACTTTTCGACTAATAAAACACTAAAAAACAGCGATTTTCGAAGACGACTTTTCACACAACACGTTGCGACTAGACCACAAGTTCGGCATAGAAAGCTCGTTGCCATGGCTTCAAAAATGGACCAATCACAAACAGACTGAATAAGAAGGTACTATGCTAAAGAATCGTTTCTGTTGAATATTTCATGCATTTTTGGATGAAAACGCGTTGCTAAGGTGTTGCTATGGAGGAAATTTTGCAGCCTTGCTACTTTAAACGCATTTTTCACGTATAAAATATAAAAATCTTGCGAAACTAACTATAAATTCTAAAACTACATTATTTAAAATACTAATAATGCATTTAATAAAAATTTCGAAAAAATTTTGCAAAATTACTTTGAAAGGGGGAATGACCACCTGAGAGACTCTGAAAACGCTGTTTCTGACTAACCATGGCATGGCGCCTGCAATGAAGTCACTAACCTAAACAAATTTCTCAACTGCCCTTCTGACTGTGGAAGAAAAGTGTCCTTGTCAACTAGTCTTATTTTAATGCTGAGCATAAAAATACCTCAACTCCTTGGTCCTTGGGTTCTGATTTCTGGGCGGCATTGAAATTTTGAAGTATCCTTTGGGGGGGATCGTCGAAAATATTGCGATAACTCCAACAGGGCCCTGAAAAAATATGCCCCTTTTTGAAGACATCTTCATCCCCCTGGCATAGTAAATAAACAAATTAAAACTGGTTACTAAATTAAAATTGGTTTTGTGAATTGCCAATTTTAGTTTCGTTAACAAAATTATTATAGATTAACTGGTTTAATGTGACGCGTTTGTACTAGCTGGCCTTTATTATCAATTGATCTCAGATAAAATACTCCCTTGCATGAACTTAAAAAACGCATTCATCAATCAGATCTCTAATGTACTCTTTTAAAGTTTGTCTTAAAAATTAATAGCGTTGATTTCGTTATTCCGCGTTCTTTTGTTAATGAAATGCGACAAAACTGTCACTGGAATTACCGTTGTAATGTACAAACGTGTTGTCGGGCAAAATCTAAAAATAGCATCAACATTTTGACTTCTCACTGGTGCGGGTTTTGCTTGCCGCCAGAGATTTTTTAATATGTTATAAACAGATGGCTACTTTGCAAGTTAGTCTTATTTTCGCTGCAATTTGTCATGTACCACGGTCCATTTGAACACATTGAAATTGACAAAAATTTGCCTTTCTGTTGTGAACCGTAAACACCAAATATTAGCTAGCTTTAAATGTCAAGAAAGATTTTGGAATAACGTATTTTGCTGCTAAGACAAAATATAGAGATGGTCTTAGATTATACTAAAAAATGGTTGTAATATGTTTGAAGGGTAGCCGTCCCAAACGCTTTAAAATCCTGTATTTTGACTGATGAAAATTGACTTAAAAGTCCCAAAATCATGTTTAGGTCATTTCACGAAAAATAAGAGGAGCTGCGACTTTTGAACTATATTTTTCAAAATAGCTCACTCAGTGGATACTATGGGTAAAATAAAAGGAATTTCGAATTTTCCAATTTGTCGCCAAATTCTCGAGATTTACGGACACTCACTCTTAAAAAAAATCTAAAAATCTTATTACCATTACTTATGACAGTTATGTCAATCTTTCATGCACTCGTGGATTCAGCTAGTGCAAGGACATTCAAATTCAAACAATGCGTTAATTTCAATGGTTTTGGTTTTTTTGGACACCTTGTATAGTCAATTTTCGTTCATACATGTAGAATAATGAATAAATTACCTATTGCACTTAAATCCACATTATTTTGATCAATCAACAAGCTCAAATGCTCACTAGCATGTTTGACTAACTATACACTACATGTCCTACGAGCATCTTAATACGGGACTTTTAATTAGCCACTTATCGTGCACTTATATGTTATATTGCAGGTCGCGTACATGAGATGGGTAACATCTGCAGGATTTGTTGTGGGGGAAGTGTTTGAACTGGAGTTTTTCCTTCAGGTGGCAGCGGCACACAGTTCCGGAGAAACGCTTGATCAGTTGTTAAAGGAGTTCGTGAAATACCGTGAGGGCAGTTTACGGACAATATTGAAAGAGGACGAACAGTTGTTTCCCATTGATTCGAAACATATTTTTACAAAATGCCTGGCAGTTTGTGTTGTTGGTGGTGGTGTTCCAATGTCCGACCTGAGTGAACTCTATCAACTGGCACCATCAGATCTCCCTTGGACCCTTCTAAAGGTGAAAAATAGAACTTTAATGGCAGTGTCACCACAAGCGAAGGCAGCAATGCAAACCTTCGTGAGAACAAATCAAGATTTGGCAAAACAGCTGGTAAGTTCATTGGTCCACGTGACATGATAATTGAACCAGTCATTTTGTGAATCCATGGAATATGTCTGACCTTCGTGGGGTTCTTGCACGATATGCAGTATATCTGTATATCTCTACTCTGACTGAACTAAACTGTACTTTTGTGTATGTGTAATTTGTAAATATATATTCACCAAAATTTTTTGTCCAAGAACCCCTTTATGCTCAAACATTATCCATGGAATCATAAAATGATTGCGAAAATGCAATTTCTAAGCCCTTGAACCAGGGCATTCTGGTTTCAATTCAATTTAATTCGCAAACTGAGCGCTAATTTTCTTTTTTCTTTTCTTTTTCTCGTTTATTGAATGAACTATGTTGCGAAGATTTTAAAAATCTGAACGGGAACAGGGTGGAAACATTTATTTCTTTTCCATGTTTTTCAATTTAATTCGCAAACTGAGCGCTAATTTTCTTTTTTTCCAGCTATACCTTATCGATGCAGGTAGGCACAGGAGTTCTGGTAGCACGCGTGGGGCACTATTCGAGGAATTTTTCTTTCAAGCATTACCTGGTATGATCATAGTTTTGAAGAGACATGGTTGCATTGATGAAATAGTGAACCTGAAGATCGTTTCTCCGGCTGTGGACGAAGTTAAGGGCAGCAATCTTGGAGATTTTTTACCAGAGACGAATTATTGTTACTATACACCTAACATGCGAGATGTGGACATTATTTTAAATGTCGATGACAAGATCTTCTTAATTCAGTGCTCGATTTCAAGAGAGATCGGGGTAAAAAAAGGTTTTTGGAGAACCGTGGAAAATAGAAAGTTGACTGCAGTTCTTGCTGGGCCATCGCATGTAAAAAAGCATCTGGAAGATAGTAACTCTCAACTTGCTAACAAGTACAAACAAAATAAATTTGCGTTTGTACTCAGCAATGATGTTTTGGGGGACGATTTTGTTAATCTTCTGACGTATGTGCAGGACAATGACCGGTGACTGCATATGTGTGAGATATGTGTGTGAGATACATGAATTTTTTCTTTCGTGAGCATGTGTGAGATACATGAATTGTTCATCTATCGTGTTTAACGCAATGCATTGTGGGGTTATTTTAAACTGCTGTAAATCAATTATTATATAGTTTAAAACTTCGTATAAAACTGGCGCACGTGATTTTTTTCGTTATTTCCCGGTCCCATGATAAACAATTATCCCCAATTATCCCATGATACACATTATTTCACAAGAAACAGAGACGCCATCTTGAATCGCGATGCATTGTGGGAGATCTGGAGTAATAATTCTTGTATACCAATCGTCAAAGTTTCCCTTTTCTTGTGTTTCATGGTCAAGAGTCCCACCAAATATGATTAAACGCGCAAGTATGTTAACAATCATTTTAATGCGTATCATGGGATAATTGGGGATAATTGTGTATGATATAGTGTTATTGAACCTCTAACAGTCCTAAGAATAGATTTAACTATTACTAAATACTTGTCTGACTGCATGCCATATACGGTCATCGCGTGATACGAACACATGGATTTTTAGATTTTTAAGTCGTAAACAAGTTGTCTTGGCCGAGAAATATACGCAAAATACGGCGAGTTAATGTAGGTTTAATTCTTTAATAGTGTAATAAAGTGTTGAAATTTAAGAGTTTTCATTTCGTCGAAGACATATGGTCCTGTCGAGCCGGATTTATAGACGATATTGAAGAATTGAGCTTACTACGAGAGTAAATATAATATTTTGTGTATGGCGGAGAAAAATATAGGCGAGTCTGTCGACAATACACAGGAAATACAAGACGTCCCGGTCGAAGAAAGCGACAAAAGCGATGAAACTAAAGATTATATCAAGAGGAAACTATGAGCACAGCAAGCAATCAATGTCAGACTCTCAAAAATCGAAAAAAATCGAGTAAAACATGTTTAACAAAGGCCAGGAATCAACTCGGAGAGCTGTTAAAGTCGTCGCAAGAAGGAACTCTAATCAGGAAGACGGTTATCAGACGAGCAGCGAATAAGGTAACATTGGAATTCGGTATTCTTGAAAAAGTAATTTACGAATTAAAGGAAGTTGTTGTTTTGGGAGAAAACGAACATGAAACGGACAGTATAATTGAGAATTTGGACAAAGAATTCGACGAAATATCCGGTCAAGTTGATAGTATAACACAAGCAGCCGATAATCATATACGATTATATACGCTCCGGGAACAAGAGTCCGAAGCGCCTTCTGTGTGTTTCATCAAATCGAGCAAAATTAAAGATAATTCGTCGATTATTACGCAGGAAAAAATGTCATCTGTGTCGGGAAAAAGAGAACAAGACGCCCGCGATGCCCAGGAGACTTAAAAAATTTGAGAAAGAACGGCGACAGTTAGATTGACCCTCGAGAAGAGAATTGCTGAAGTACAATTGGGAAAGCAACGAACAGAGGACGCACGTCGTATCGCCATTTTAAACAACAAACGTGCAAAACAAGCGCTTGATGATTTTGTAACATGCCAAGAAATGCCCAAGAATAGTCCGATTGCTAATGACAATCAAGTGCCAGGAACGATTGACAACCTGGAACCGGAAATGACGAGAGATTATCCAGTGATACCACTTCAAGAATACAGTCAGTTAAATTGAAAGGTGTAGAACTTCCTACTTTCTCTGGGAATAATAAAACAGAATATGAATCGTGGAAAGCAGATTTATGTCGGTTGTGGACGGTGCAAATATCTTAGTTAAAGAAAAAATGTTGCGTTTACAAAGCTGCCTGACTGGAAAAGCCCTCAAAATGGTAAAGGATCTTGGATAATCTGATAATGCGTACAAACGAGCCCTTGAAAAACTAGAGAAGAAATTTGGTGGGGAGCGAAGGCTTGCCATAACACTTCTGACAACCCTTCGTGGATGGCCGAAGGTGCGGCGTCGAAATCTTGAAGACCTGGAGGAATTCCTTTCCATTTTGGATACGATTTTGGTAGCAATACAAGATAATGTGGAACTAAAGAGCCAACATCTCAATTTAACAGCTAAGGAAAAATTGACGGAAGATGATGTTCAATCGTATAAATCTTGGCTGTTCGAACATGATAGAGAAGATTGTTTCGAAAACTTAGTTGACTGGGTTGAAATGAAAGTTCACATAATGGACAAAGCGAAGGAAGAAGCTGGTGGAGACAGTAAAGGAGGAGGCACAAGAACTGACAACAGGAGAAACAACCGTGGGTTCAATACGGGTAAGAGAGCGAGAGGGTGTGTTGTGGACAACTGCCCAGAGGATCATCCACCGTGGGTTTGCGAAGCATTTAAAAGGTTACCAGTGACTAAACGGAAAGAATTGATAACAAAAAGCGGATGTTGTTTTCGTTGTCTGGCGTCAGGTCATCACAGTAGAAGATGTTCTAGAACTGTGCCCTGCGGTATTGATGGTTGCAAGAGTGACACTCATAGTAGGTATTTACACCAGTCTAACAGAAATCCTACGGATAACGAAAGTAATAACAGTAATCCCCCGAATGGAGCTGAACAACCAAACGAAAATGAGAACGCTACTAGTTCTACCTTTACAACCAATCAAATCGATAAAGTGTCCTTGATGGTGCTACCTGGTTTCATTTCCAATCCCAACCAAAAGAAGAAAGTAAATGTGAACATTATGCTTGATCCTTGCTCAACTGGCTCTTATATATCAGAACATGCAGCGGAAGAACTAAAGCTGCAAGGACGAACACAACATCTAACTGTAACAGGAACGGGAGGCACTGAAGTGCAAAAGATGTCTCGTAGGGTCAATTTAAATGTATCTGATGTCAAAGGAAATTTCTCAGGGACGGTTGAAGCTAACGTCTTGGATGATATCACTGGAACTACCCCAGCAATAGAGTGGTCCGATCTTAAAGAAAATTGGCCACACCTTCAGAAAGTTCCGTTTGAACGAGTAGCAAATCGATGCCAGATTGACCTCTTAATCGGCAGTGATCATCCTTTGTTCCACCATGTTCTTCAAGAGATGCATGGACCACAAGCCAACGACCCAATTGCTCGGCGTACAAATCTCGGATGGGTTTGTTTTGGACCGACATCGACAACTGGAATCCACAATAACTTGCGTATACATGTCACACGTACCTATCGATCCAGCTTGGCTGGAACAAATCACGAAGAATCAACGAACAATATTTTGCGACAATTTTGGGAGCTGGAGTCAATGGGAATTAAACACGAGGCTACTCCAGTATTAACGCCAGACGAAGCGAGAGCGACCAAGATTGCAGAAGAGACACTGCATAAGCAAGACAACCGGTACGAAATTGGAATACCTTGGAAAGTAAACCTACCCATATTCAAAAGCAATTACGACCAGGCATTTTCACGATTGCAGAGTTTGGAAAGATCATTACTCAAAAAAGGATCGGACATTGGCTCATCTTACAACAGTATCATAGAAGATTACGTTGAAAAGGGTTACGTGAAAAAGATACCCCGCACAGCAGAAGAAGATCAATGGTACCTGCCACACTTCCCTGTCATTCGCAACGACAAGACTACCTCGAAAGTTCGGATAGTGTTTGACGCTGCGGCAAAACACGATGGGAAATGCTTAAATGATGCAGTCCTTCCCGGACCTAAGCTGCAACGAGAACTAGTTGATGTACTCTGCCGTTTTCGACGTGCCCCTGTAGCACTATCTGCAGACATTTCCCAGATGTTTCTTCAAATCGGTCTTCGAAGTCAGGATCGTCCATACCACAGACTCCTTTGGAGGAATTTTGACCAACTGAGTCAGCCTGAGATTTACGAATTCCAACGTCTTCCTTTTGGAAACGCGGCATCGCCATTCTGCGCTCAGTATGTTTTACAGACGCATGGACAGACTCTTAGCGAAGAGAAGTCAAAGGTCGCAGAGACTATAGACAATTCGATGTATGTTGATGATGTCCTCGACTCGTTCGAGACAGTCGAGGAAGCTTGTTCATTACGACGTGATCTTTCGGAAGTCTTATCAGACGCGGGTTTCAAATTACGAAAGTGGCTTTCAAACGAATCGTCGGTCATCGCGGACGTTCCAATCGAAGATCGTGTGTCAGGTGTGGAGATTAGTGAAGGAAAAGATTTACCGACGCAGAAAACCTTAGGAGTAACATGGAATGCGGAAACGGACACGTTTACCTTTCAAGTTCAGCCACCCACCAATTCTATGTCTACAAAGAGAAGCGTTTTAAGTTGCATTGCATCCCTTTTCGACCCACTCCAATTCTTATCTCCATTTACTATACGAGCGAAATTATTAATGCAAGAAATTTGGGCAGCAGGTCCGGACTGGGACGATGTTCTGCCAGCAGAATTGGATTCAAAATGGAAAACGTGGATTTCTGAGTGCCATGAATTCCCCAACGTCACAATTCCACGCTGTCTACGTAACGCCCTTCCAACAAGCATTCAACTACATATGTTTTCAGATGCATCCAGAGCGCGTACGCTGCAGTTGCTTACTTAGTGTGCAAATATGTTAACAATCCACCGACCTCACGTCTCATCGCTTCTAAATGTCGCATTGCACCGGCGAAAGCAATGACAATTCCACGACTCCAATGATTCAAAATGGCGGAAAGTTGTGTCCAAAATAGCTCTGATGCCTACTGTAAAAACGACTCACTTGACTACGATTTGGTTGAAATTTTGCGTTATAAGTACGAGAATTGCTTTGCCTACGATGGAAAACGTGTTAGATGGACAGATAGCTTCGAAATGTTAAAGATATTTACAAAACATGCCATTGAACAGCCCGGCAATTGGTTGTCACCCGGCGGAAAATACAAGAAGTTCACAAGCTCAAATTCAGACTTGATCTTTACATGGAACTATGAGCTAGGTACTCTGTCATTTAAAGGTGAAATGGGTGATCGCTTAAAAGAACTGTTTATTACCGTGTGTACGATGGGGAAAAGCTTACCGGCGGAACGTTCAGGCTTTGAGCATGTTGCTTTGAATAACGATAAACCTTTGCGTGTTCGCGGAACCAAGACGAAGACTGCTCAAGTGTCTACCGATAACGATAGTGCTAGATCATCTAATCACGTAAGTTCAGTACAGAAAAGTAAGTGTGACTGTCAATGTGGACTGTTGGCCGCTGAACTTGAGGGGGTTAAGTTAGATCTAGTTATCTTGCAGAAAAATGTCGATACTAGGATAACTTCAGCGCAGAAAACTCATGATGATGAGGTGACCCAACTGAGACACATTTATGCTAAGGAAAGGTAACGATGCGAGTTGCTCGAATCTGATATATCAATATTAGTGAGGGGAAGAGATAGGGAGATTAACGAACTAAATAACATTATTGTGTCACTTGAAAATAAAGTTGAATCAATCGAAGCGTTAAATGCATCGTTGAGAAAATCAATTAGCGAACAATCAACAAAGTATATACAAAACAATTACGATATGAGCAAAACAAGCGAACATGTGAATAATTATGCTAATTCGAAGCCTTTTTCCACGTCTGATGACATATACATAAAATCCTCAAACAGTATTGAAGTTCCAGCCGAATATCTGAGGTATATTAGTGTCCAACAACCAAATTTAAATAGTTGCTCATCCTCCCATGACATTTCCGTTGTTAATAATAACAACGGGAATACAAAAAAAGTACATCAGTTCTATGATGATCGGAGCCAAATAGAGCAGAATTCATGTCCACCGCTAGGGTCAAGTAACTATCAACATATTCCAACTCGTATAACTGATAGAAAACATCAATCAAACTCCCGAAAATTAAATGCAAATACAAATTATCTTAATAGTCAACGCAATAGATATTGGCCAATGAAGAACGAAATCGGGTAGCAGAATAAATTAACAAAACCCGGTACCGCCAAAGCTAAAAAAATGTGATAAAATTGGAGTGCAGGGTTTTCGTATAACATCGAACATGAAAGACCAAGCGAATTGGTACCGGTATTATTATTAAACAGTTCCAATCAAAGAATTCCTAAAGTACCGAATTTAATGTTAACAAATGTCATGTCCCTGGTACCAAAAATCGATGAAGTTAATGAATTTATTATTCGTAGTGAACTTAATCTCGCCCTCATAACAGAAACCTGGTTGAAAGAATCCGTGTCCGACAGTGTCATTGATATTCCAAATTTCACCTTATTGCGCAGGGATAGAGCATCGCAGAATCATGGAGGGGTGTGTGCCTACATTAGAGAATCACAATACTGCCTCGTACCCAGGCGTCTCTTTGTAAAAAAACAGTGATGCGCATATGACAAGTTTACATGAAGTATTGTAGTGAGGAGAGATGGCGAAGAGGCTGATGGGAAGAGTGCACTTGAACTGCGAGACGCCTGGCAGTTCTTGGTCGATTTCTTGCAAGAATAGTCGATTTCTTGCAAGTTGTGATATTTCGTTGTCGTTTACGATTTTTTGCTACTTGTTTTTGTTGAATTGACTAATGTTAATATTCTTCTGTCATCTGGGCGTGAATTCATGCTGTTATTCTTGGTATATATGACATATGCCTTATTTAAAGTCCATAGAAATTCCAATATTAACATGTCAGCAACCAAAGCGTTAGAACTAGACTTGCAGGAACTAGATTTGTAAGCTATAACTATATAAAGGTACAGACTATAAAATTGCACTGTTGTAGTAAATATTTCAAACTTTACGGCTGTGAACGTTTATTTACTTGGGCTTTTGTTTACAGTATACATTTAATAGAAATTGTCATTGGCATTGTGATCGACTGATCGAGCCTTCAGCTAAAGAAGTTATTAATACAAAAGCAATTATATGACTTTCTAAACATTTCTCTGTTACTGTTTTATACTAAGCAACTGATAGCATACTATTATTCTCCATGTAATACCGAATGACATATTCGCACAGTTAATAAACTTGCCATGTAATTTACTTATAATTTTTCGCGCATTTTGTATGTCATCAAACATCTACAAATTTATTATTATTTGCCTTATTATTTGCCAATGGCGTTCAATTCGACTCTTCGTCAGAAAATAAGGTTTTACACACAGAAGTATATGACGATATGGCGATGTTTTGTATTAAATTCCATGTTTTCCCGCCATGACAGTATACAAGAACTGCCAGGCGCTCCCTAGCACGCACCCTTCCCAACAGCCCCTTTGCGCGTCGCCTGCCTACCTGAATACTTCATGTATTGTAATCATTTAAAGCGCGGTACGAGGCAGATCACAATATAAATATAAACGTCTGGACGACTTGAATTGCTGTGACGACCATGAATGTTTATGGATTTACTTGAGACCAACCCGTCTGTGCATGTAACAAGCATTCCTGCTGAAGCTAAGAGCTCAAATATTTCTGCAAATTCGATGCTCGTCATGGCAACTAGCAATCTCCACTGCACCCTGAGTCTCGTCCCTTAACCTGTTTCATCACACCCTTTGGTAGACATGTGTGTAATCGAGCCGCATTCGGAATCAGCAGTATCAGTGAGTGGTACAACCGTCGCATGGACAAGGTTGTCAATGGCTTACAAGGTATCCGTAAGATCGTAGATGATGTTCTCATCTATGCACCAACCCTCTCTGCTTTGAAGAAACGCGTTCACGCCTTCCTAGACCGATGCTCCACGCATGGGGCACACTGAAGCGTTCAAAGTCCCAGATAGCTGTCACTGAAGCTGATTTTGGCGGATTTCACCTGTCAGAATTGGGCATCCAATGCAGTTCAGATCTCCTCAAGTCCATCCGCGATTTTCCACGACCGAAGAATCTTACTTATCTACGCTCCTGGTTTGGTCTGGTGAATCAACTTGACCATTTTTCCCAGGAGATAACCCAAATTATGGAACCTTTTCGCCCTCTGCTTCAGAAGAACTCATGCTACCTCTGGTTGCCAGAACATGAGCAAGCATTCAACGCAGCTAAACGTCGCCTCAGCTCACCACCTGTCCTAACCTACTTTGCTGTCAACCGTCCAACTTTGCTCGCCATGCACTGATGCATCTCGTCTGCACGGTCTTGGTTTTGTCCTTCTACAAATGGTTGACGGCGTATGGAAGCCTGTTCAAGCGGGTTCCAGGTTCTTGACTCCCACCGAAAGCCGCTATGCTATGATAGAGCTGGAAGCTCTTGGTGCTTGCTGGGCCATGAAGAAATGTGATATGTTCCATCGGGGCCTACCTCACTTCAAACTCGTCACCGATCACCAACCCCTTATTCCCATTCTGAATTCGAAGGGATTGCTGATGTCGAGAATCCTCGCCTGCAACGTCTCATTGAGGAAAAAATGCTGCCTTATACGTTTACTGCAGAATGGATTAAAGGCAAAGATCACCTCGCTGCATACGCACTCTCCCGTTTTCCCGTTGATGAACCTTGTCTTGAAGATGAACTATGCGAGTTGCATGCCGAAGCTGCTATGAATGTTCACTTTGTTGACAAGTCAACTACTGCTAGTCAGCTTCAGGAACTTTTCCACCATCAACAAGCCGATGATACATTCTTGAAAGTCGTACATTACGTACAAATTGGGTGGCCTAAAATGCGAAATAAAGTCGAAGAAGAAGCACGCCCCTTTTGGTCCATTCGTCATAACCTCTACATGGCGTCTGTTGGAGAGAACTCTATCTTACTTATGAATGGCAGAACTGTCATCCCCACCCAACAACAAAAGAAAACATTAAATAACCTTCATGAAGGACACCAAGGGATTGAAAAAAACTCGCCGCCGTGCTCAAGATTCTGTATATTGGCCTGGGATGAACCATGACATCGAAGAAATGGTAAAACGCTTCTCTGAATGTCGAACTCATCTTCCTGTCAATCCCATAGAACCTCTGCAGCAACCACCTCTACCCACTCGACCTTGGGACAAACTAGGCGTTCACCTTTATAGTCTTAATGACCGAGAATACCTTATTGTATATTTCCACGGAATATTTCTCCTCCTTCACTGAAGTTTATGATCTTGGTAAAGACGCAACAGCACCAGCGTTGATCAAAGAACTCATGCAATTGTTCTCTCGATTTGGTCAACCTGTTGAAGTCGTATCAGACGGTGGTTCACAGTTTACTTGCAAAGCCTTTGCAACGTTTGTTGAAAGTTGGAATTTTATGCACACTGTATCTTCTCCTACACACGCTCAGTCAAATGGCAAAGCCGAAGCCACGGTAAAGAATGTAAAGAAGCTCCTAAAAAAGTGTGGCTCTATGAATGACCAATTTTGGAAAGGTCTGCTGGCAATTCGAAATACTCCTCTCTTATGTGGTAATAGTCCTGCAGAATTGCTGCTTGGCAGAACACTCCACGATTCCCTCCCCCGTTATCCTGGTCCAACAATGTTAGATAATGAGACGAAAGCGAAAATCCTTGATATCAAGAAGAAAGAGAAAGATACCTATGATCAACATACTACCCCATTACTTCCTCTCCAGACTGGTACCCGTGTAGCTATTCGTTCCCGCGTCGATTCCGATTGGTCACTACTTGGAAAAATTACTGAAATTAAACCGAATCGCACCTACATTGTATTAACCGACCAAGGATCCACACTCACCCATAATCGAAGATATCTAAGACCTGCACCTCCCCCTGCTGGTAACAATACATCTCAAGCGAATAACGAACAGAACCCAACCCCAACGACTAATCCATTGGGAGGAAGGCATGTGGGACTACGCGATCCATATAATTTAAGAAAGAGATGTCCTAAAAACTGAACTTGTGAAAGGACTATTATATTACTTATTGTTGATGTTGTGTTCTTACTGTTAACTGATTGATATATAGTGAACAATATTAACTTTTGATAACCTTATATACGAAAGGAAAGGAGATGTGGTATTATTGCTTTTATATTATGCTACATGAAGTACTTAAACTTATATAATATATTAGGAACATTGTAAATAATTAGATATAAATTATAATAAATTATTCTAAAATACAACAGGTATAACCATTCAACTTGGATGGTTATGCTGCTGACTGTTGTCGGGCATAACCATTCAACTTGAATGGTCAACCTGTTGAATGTCTTCGGCATAACCATTCAACTTGGTTGGTTTAACCATTACTCTTGGATGTTTTTGCCGTTGAATGTCTTCGGCATAACCATTGGATGTTTATGCCTTCGGCATAACATTTGGATGTTTATGCCATAACCATTGGATGTTTATGCCGGCATAACCGTTCAACTTGCATGTTTATGCCGTTGTATGTCATCGGCATAACCATTACACTTGGATGTTTATGCCGTTGACTGTTGTTTGCATAACTATTCAACTTGGATGGTTATGCCGTTGAATGTCTTCAGCTAAACCATTGGATGTTTATGCCTTCGGCATAACCATTGGATGTCTATATGCCATAACCATTGGATGTTGTTGCCAGCATAACCGTTCAACTTGGATGGTTATGCCGTTGACTGTCTCCGGCATAACCATTCAACTTGGATGGTTATGCTGTTGACTGTCTTCGGCATAACCATTCAACCCCGATGGTTATGCCGTTGAATGTCATTGGCATAGCCAGTCAACTTGGGTGTTTATGCCGTTGACTGTCTTCGGCATAACCATTGAACTTGGGTGGTTATGCCGTTTGATGTCTTCGGCATAACCATTGGATGTTTATGCCTTCGGCATATCCATTTGATGTTTATGCCATAACCATTGGATGGTTATGCCGGCTTAACCATTCAACTATGCCTTCGGCATAAGCATTGGATGTTTATGCCATAACCATTCGATGTTTGTACCGGCATAAACATTTAACTTCGATGTTTATGCCGTTGAATATTATCAGCAACACAAGGCAAACCACTCATAACCATGGTTCACTTTAATCGAAAAGAATAGCGGGTGGGGGGGGGGGCAAAAGCGCAAAGGCCGTGGCATAAGCCATTTTGCTGTATGGTTAATCCGGCACTGTATATGTGTTCAATAGGAAAAGTAACCACGAATATACAGTTGGTATTGATCCTGGGAGAATATTTTGGAAAAAAATTATAAAACCTATTTCTAAATATGGCTTAATTAATACAAAAATTTAAAAAAAATATCTGCGAGAATCGATCGATGCACCACTCATTTGACGCCAAGGGTTTTACAGCTGGACCAAATGTTCAGGGTTCCAAACTGATCGCAACTGGACTATAGTAGTGGGTCGGAGCAGCATTTTACGTTAGGCACGAGTTGATTTCACCGGATTTTACCGTTCTTTAAATTCCTTGTAAATAGCTTGTATGTGTTCTTTTGGTAAAGTAATCAGGAATATACCGTTGGCTTTTATCCTGAGAAAATATTTTTGGAGGGAAAAAAGGATTAATCTCCAAATATTTCTTGGTGCTATGATATAAAAAATTTGTTCTGCGAGAATCGATCCGTCTCTTATTTGGCGTCTGTAATTTTTACCACTGGATCACCTTGTTCAACATAGCGAATTGATCATAACTAAACTAGTGATCTTAATAAGAAAGCACTCTAAGTCCCTGAAACATCCAGAAACAGGGGGATGTAAATCACCCTCATTATCTTCATTGTCCATTTGATTCACCCCTTTGTCAAACTTTGTCGTCTTTGCCCTGGGAATATCAAACCTCAATTACAAACCTCATAACAGTTTTGTAGTCAGCAAGCTTAGGAATTTTGCATTTATCCATATATGTGACCTGGTGTTTCTTTCCACTTTCATCAATTTCAAAGATCTCTTTGCTTCGTTTTCTATTGTATTGGCTTTTGCTTGATATCCCACCTTCATGGAGTACTGCTACAGATCGAACAAGGTTGCTTTGGCCAAGTTCATACCTCTTCACAGCAGTATTGACAATGGTTGGTAGGACCTTTTTCATAACTTTAGAAGAATTTAATAGGTATTGCTTCACTTCATATTCACTGGCAGTATTTACGAAAGTATTCCACAAACCATTTAATGCGTATTTTCTTTTGGATTCAGCGTTGTCAGATGATGGGGCATTTACCGCCACAGCATTGGTAAACATTAACTTTCTCCTCTTTCTGGCAACACTTTGCGGTAGATCAAGCTTCTCACGGTTTGACGGGGTGCAAAATGATGGCTTTTTTATAGAAGACGTGCGGGGAAGTTTCACTTGTTCATTCAGTAATGAACCCCTCTATAAGAAAGGCAGAAGAATTTTACATACATACATATTTAATATTTTCTATGAGACAAATCAGGCACAATGTACCTTGGCCAGTTTGCCCTACTATATTTGCTACTTCACTTTATCCACTTTTCCTTGTTTAGCAAAGACGGTTGAACCTTAACCCATTGGGTTGCATTGCGACCCGATGCGCCCTACTTTATTGTTTTACGGTGTCCAATGGCAGACGATTTTACTTGTCAAAGGGAGAGCGCTGGCAATTAATGGGTTAATGGCTAACAAAAATGCCTGCCAATGTCTGGTTTTCTCAGTAAACCCATTAGGCCCAATGCCTCATGTTTAGCCTTATGTGTTATTTACTGTTGCTAACACTAAAGAATTTCCATTGCCAATACAAGGGGAGACAAAATTATTTGCAATATACTCATCTGGGGAAGACCCTTGCAGCGTGACCTTGCATCAGCTTTTGAACATGCTACCATGGTCAAAGCATTGACATAATCTTATATTTTTGTCACACTGGAGCAAATAAAATCTATAGGAGAAGTGTTGTTAACTTT